TGGGTGCGACTATTTTAAGTGGTTGTTGTATTTATAGACAAATCGCTTCATTACACTGTAACTGTGAAATATCAAGAAGATCAGGGCGAACGCCCCCTTTCAACAGCCAATCGAAATTCGTAATTTGGCCCAGGGGTAGGCTATATTTCCTCATATGTACACTAAGTAGCTTACAATAAAGCACGTCTTAGAACATTTAAATAGTGTCAAGAGGGACGATAAAGAGGTAGCACTGGGGAGGAACGACGACGAAGAACACTTGTGTGGTCGAGGGCAAAACTAAAGATGATTATTAACGGACTGTTTAGCTGACCTATGATTGGGCATAAACAGTCCGGTTTCTACAGAAAGAGAACACCGGATAATTCCGGATGGCCGGATATTATCCGTAAGTGACCGAACCTCGGCGAAAAAGGCCAAAGCAAGAACGGCCAAAGTGCCCCTTCTTGACAAATAGTTTGGCTTCTAGCTTTGGTGTGCGGGGTTGCTGCTTGGATTTATGTGTCGGGTGTATGCCCTCGACGTCCACCATGGAGTTGAGCCACACTGGCATGGTTGACTTAACCCATTGGCGCAACTCAATTCCTTTGACATGCCATATTCCACTATAGTCTTCGTCTGCTCAATTGTCAGCCCGATCCTCGACGCTGGTGACGACATTTGTTCGGCAGGTGGTTTGTGTTTGTTTTGAATTTTGAAACGCCTCTACAATGTTATTGCTGATTACCTCAAAAATGTTATTAGGTTTTGTGGGATATAATGTTTAAGTGGGTTCACTATCGCGAGGGAGTACTGTAGTGAGTTGCGTAAAAATAGGTAAAAACGTAGGAAACTGTACTTGGAACCAATTTTTCATTTTGCTAACTACTTGGAACTATTATTAGTACGTACTTCGAAGTACGTAACATTTGTCAGGTACGACTTTTATTGGTTCAATTGGGGTAAATTAAGTACATATTGCATCTGATTGGTGCAATCTCCTCTGCCGCGTATGCTGCGTCGAGGTAACGTTCGTTACACACCAAGCCAGTCAGACTAACTTACTAACACTGTATTAAGATGCGCCCGCTTCGCATAAACTAAGTGTCTAATACTCTTATATACTAACGTGGGGCACCAGTCATCAGCATCGTTCATTGCTTACTTTGTTCGTCCATTTCTCGTTGACTACAACACATATTGAAGTGATACAAATATCAAAATAACCGCAAGATTCAGCTCATGAATTGAGGTTTAAAGGATATCAATTTCAATAGTAAACACGTGCAGTAAGGATTTTCAAAAGTAGCGTTTTTTGTAGGGCACCAGTCATCGGCACACGTTTTAGACTTGTGTAATGTATTGAATCCTCCACGCTCTAGTTCGTGGGATGCTGTCATCATATTAGATATCAAAGGAATATGTGTTTAGAATGGGTATTAACTGCTACAGTAGCGATTTCTGTATGATCAACACAAAATTGACAGGTCCAACCTCTAATTTATAAGGGGCACTAATTCTTGAAGAACTACATTTTGACCAATAAGAGTTATTCAGGCATTTCTATTGGCTTAGAACAGTGCGGATGACTGGTGTCTTTGCCGATGACTGGTGCCCTACGTCCGGTAGTACACTGCTTGGAACTATAAATATATGCAACCTTTAGAACTTCTCCAAGGTGTTCGTAGTCTTGTGTCGTGGCGTCGAGCCGCTCGGCGTGCTCCGCGTCAGTCTCTGTAGTCCCCTCAGTACAAGGTCACGTCAAGGTGATCTCGCGGCCTGTACATCTACTTGTATATATCTATCTACAAGCCGTACATTGAAGTCGATATTCATGTTGCCCACAATGTACGACAGCGAAAACGGAGCGTCTTATTTTTCTGCGACAAGGTAGTAAATGGCCTGGCAGAGGGCCACACACAGATTGCCGCACGTGGTGTAGACAGCATATTTGGACGCTTGGCTGAACCGGGGGCGGATGTTGGTGATCACGACGTGCTTTCGATTGAGGCGGGTTTGGAGGTCCCTTAGGTTCTTGTCGGCCAGGACGTCGGTCGTGGGAATGGTCGTAGTGCCCTGGGTTCCTCGATTGTGCTCGCTACTATCCCCCCTCCCGACGTCATGGCTTCCCGACTTTGCCCGTATTGCAAGCTGTAGCATTCTGGATCGAATCCACGCCGACACACACACACGGACACGAAAATTCGCACCAAACTCGAGGGCCCGCAGCGACTTTTTGATAAAAAATGACCTACATACGCTCGTCCAAAGTGAAGGGGAATGTTTGCCAATTTTATAGATTGAAGGGGGTGGGGGGGTAAACAGTACTGTACCGTCGCAAGTTTTCTTCTTCATACGACACAATCATGCCGAGCATCTGCACCACGCAAAGGTAGGCCGAGTATTCTAGATGCACACGGCGAGGCAGGACAGTTTGGGCAGCGAGCAGAAAGATCAAGCACGTGAGCACGGTCACCGACGCCGACAACACAAACCTGTTCGACGCATTGAATACAAACACGAAAAACGTGCCCAATAATAGATAACCATGAGATCTTGTCAAAAAATCGATTCGAAACTAGAATGGATTAAAGAACAACCTAAGCTCCAATCAAATCACGTCTTGTCGAATTTCTGCCAATCCAAACGTTTGATTCAGCCCAGTTCTTTCGCAAAACTAAATATATCATCGTACCTGTGTAAAGTATAGTTTGCACAAGCTTAAACTAGGTCAATTTGATTCGAATGCCATTTGGCCAAATCACAAGTCAAAACTTGGGTGAAATGCACAATACGACATCAAAAATGAATCGTCATTGTCCAGCTAGACCCCACGCACCTCAGGCGAAAACTCGACCGGTGTGCCAACATTGTCGCGTTTAACAGTCCTTGAAAGTACACCGAGTAAATGTCCCGCCGGCCAAACTGCAGCGCGATCACGTACACGAGGGTGCCTACATACATACACCCACAACACAACGAACGTTAGCACATAACTACTTGTCCATCGCACAGTTTGTATGTCACGACAAGCAAAACAGAAACACCGGTACCAAGCAGGCCAATGTGAATAAACACCACGACGAACGTGATGAACTGCATTGTGTGGGTGTAGCCGGCGCGCATGTTGAGGATGCGCTGCTGAGCCGCCTTGGCGACGCTAGTGGTCGCGGCCTTTACGCGCTTCTATGCCAACACCGTCAGGTGGCCGCGTCGGATATCCGGATACGTCCGTACCCTAACCACACCGAAGACGGACGGCGGCGACTGGCGGCGGCTGTGCCGCGCCTGGTGAGCCGTTGTCATGCACAGAGTCGGCGACGCCTTGATGCGACCCGACTCGACCCACTTGGTCGTGTACGTCCGGCTCAAGTAGTACATGGACGCAAACAGACACATGTAGGCAGGGATGACGCAGCCCAGCCGACATGTGAGCGCCACGAGCTGCGTCGGCGTCCCGTACAAGTTGGTCACGTCTTGGAGGAGCAGCACCCCTTGGTTCAGGCACACCCCTGTCGTGAACAGCGCAATGAAGTTCGTCGTAGTCATAACCATTGAGTGCATGGAGTGGGGGGCTACCTGCGAGAGGATATCGCCACGATATATAGGCATTGCGGTGCAGGATGCCAGCGTTGACACTCTCGTACGAGTTGGCATCGAGGAGGTACCAGAACCGATAAAACCTCCTGTGAGATCATAAGCACACTACAAGGACGAGCACGACAAGCAGCACCGTTCGAGGTCGGCATGCTTGAACGATTGCGAGAATGGATTGCACAGCGCTTCCTTGGCGTAGTACGGGCTGTGAATACGCGACGACGCGTCGTCGGGGCTGCCTACGAAGAGCCGCACGACATGAGCCACCGGACAAATGTAGTAGTAGTACTACTACTAGTAGTACCGGAGTAATTGAGCCCGAGCACAAAGTTGCGTCGCTTGAGCAGCTCCTACAATACCATCAACACGAGTGATAGATGATGACTGAATTCAGGTAGTGGGTTGGTAATGGGTTTCTCCCTAATTCAACCCCCCAACTCTAAGACATCATAGCTACGACGGTAGTATACCTTTTGATAACTCGACACCATGCCCGCGACGACACTCATCGAGTAATTGAGCGTCGTGAACACCGTCTTGGATGCTGTGTCGGGGCCGGCGGCGATCTCCACGACGGAATACGTGACCACAATAGCCCAGCCCACGACGGCCGAGTACGCGAACCGCATGCGCGTGACATTGAACAGCGGAATGAGCAGGATCACGAGCGCGTAGATCGGGCCCTTGGCTTGCTGCACGCACTTTTTCGCAATGAGTGCCACGGCGACCACCAGGTATACACATGTGACGATGCTGCGAGCAAGTTGTTTAGCCATGACTGTCCATGAGGAGCGTACCTCTCGAGCCGGCGGCGCCCCCATGGCACAAACGTAGCGACCACCCCCAAGCCAAACGTGGGCACAATCAGCCCAAAGCTGAGCCAGTACAGCACAAGCTCACTCGGCCCTGAGATGCCGTTGTGGATGTCGCCGTCGTCGTCGCTACCCGCTATTCGGTACGCATCCAGGAAGCGCACTTCGTAGTAAAAGTAGTAGGCGCACGCGATGGCGCCAATGGAAAAACACACTTGGACCCGACGGCGGTTGATTTCGTTCATAAACGCCACGTACTGATGCTCGTGGGGCTCTGCCAAGGACCGAAGGGTTAACGAAGTGTCCTCCACATGTGACAGATATGTGCGACGACGTACAGTACAGTACCTTCAAAGAAGAGCAAGTTCGGGTCCATTTTCACGCTGGCCATGCACAGTTCAAATTGCTTTTGCACAAACACGCGTTCTTGTAGTTTGCGGATGGCCACTAGCGAATGTGGTTGACGACAATGTATCGCGATGGGTGGCAACTATGCAGGTTATGCTGCTTGGCTACGAACGACGTACTGGTAAACGTAAGGGTATCGTCGTGCTTGTCGTGGTTGGCATCGTAGATTTCGTCCAGTGCAGCCTGCCACGTCACGGCCCTACGACAAGCCACCGTTTGTCCTGTGTGGATGTGTCGTCAGCTTGATGTGTGTACAGTACAGTACTTGTGCACGGGGCCAGGATTGCCAAGCGCATACACTTTGGTCATGCTACTTGAGAGGCGGCGGCAAAATCAACCGCGAGCTGGCTATTTTCGGGTTTTGGTGGGTCTGCCACCGATTCAAAGCGGTTTCGTCCACGGCGTTTGGACCCAACTTGTTCGCACTGGGCCGGTACCCGCTGCATGTATACACGTATGTATGAATACACACAGCATTTCGACGATTATGGTGTGTGTGCAAAGGCGGGAATTGCACCAAAAATATTAGGACGCTGCCACGAGCGTGGGCTTGCCGTGATCGACGGTGTTGCTCTTGCTGTACCAAAGTCCGACAAGCTCTTGCTAACGTTACAGTTGTAGTTCTCTCTATGTGTAGTATGAAGAGTCATACGGAGGCGCTACACTGTATGAGAACAAGGAGCTAATCATGATACAGTCTTCATGGTAATAACATCGGTGTGTGTGCTTTCTCGTTGGATTGAGTGTCTAAAGTAGGGGGCGAAGGCCACGGTGGTGCTGCCACGTCACAGCCCCGGCGTTCAGGTGTATGTGTTACTTTTGCTTGGCGAGGAAGAACATGACTTGGCCAAACGCAATGAGTACACTCACACACGTCGAGTACAAGCCGAACCGCCCGGCTTTGGACATGCGCGACGACGCGCTGGTCACGACTTCGTTGTTCTTGTTCAGACGGCCTTGGAGGTCCCTCAGGTTTTTGTTCAGGTCCACATCTGCCAGCTTCCCTTGAAGGTCTCTTAGGTTCTTGTTGATGTCCACATCTGCCAGCTTCCCTTGAAGGTCCCTCAGGTTCTTGTTGATGTCAATATCTGCGAGTTTGCCTTGGAGGTCCCTTAGGTTTTTGTTAATGTCAATATCGGCGAGGGGCACGGTGAGCGAAAACTTGGCTAGGGGAGTCACCCGAGTGGACCCTGTGCGTCTTGCCACGTCATGGCCGTTGGCGACAATGATGGAAGCAGGAGGGACAAGGGGAGGTGGTTTGAGGCGGTGGCGCGCGTCGTTTGCTTTCCGCACCATACGCGCGCGAACCCACGACTGCACGCGCGTCAACGACGCCAGCCACGCTTTGAATTCCAGCGCCCGCAGTGACTTTTTGATGAAGAACGACCTACCAACCCCATGAATGCATACATGTATACCGTATCCAGCGAACACGCACCGCCGTAGATTCTCTTCCTCGTACGACACGATCATGCCGAGGATTTGCACCACCCCGAGGTAACACATGTACTCCAAATGAGTTTGCCTCGACAGCACGTTGCGCGTGCCAAACAGGAACGCCAAGCACGCGACCATCGTCAACATGGACGAGTACATGAACCTACCGTAAACATGTAGAATCATTTGTACACTGATTGATATATATCATTTTTCAACAGATACACTGTAACGGTATCTCATTTTTGAACGGTGTATGATTGGCGGTTGGGTACAGTATGGTGAAGTTACCGCAGGCGAAAACTGGACCGATGGGCCACCAGTGTTGCGTTGAGAAAACCCATAAAGTAGACGCTCATGACGCCAATGTTGACTGCGATCACGTACACCAACGTCCCTACCACACACGAGAGAGTGCCACGTAATATATATTTATTTATCAATATTCATATATATATTCAATCAAGAAACACATGAAATTGCCACATCATATATATATATACATTATATACATTTCAAGCCCGCATTTGTTCTCGATATATCGTAGGTGCAAAGTGCTCCAGTTTGTTTTGCCCATACTAGTATGTTGAGAACAAGCAATGAACTTTCCAAGTAGTACCTGTCAAGTACACGTGAAACAGGATCACCACGGCCGTGATGGCCTGCATCGTGTGCGTGTAACCGTGGTGCACCCCCACGAGGTCGTCGCGGACTCTGGTCACCGCCTGGCTTGCATGCCGGTGAAGCTGCAAATTACCCCAAGATCACAATCAAATAATATAAGTCACAAACATCCACACGAGGTTGTTTCGTACGTTCAACAAGTACAATGCGTGCGACGTACCATGGTTTTGGAACGCACGACAATGTGAGTGGTGGTGGTCCTGTCGTTGCTGTCGGGCTGGACGGACGACATCTGGCGCTTGGAGGACGATGCGACCACCCGCGACACCATCCACCCCTTGGCGTACGCTCGGCAAAAGTAGTACATGCAGCCAAAGAGGATCATGTAGGCGGGGACGATGCATCCGACGCGAAACCCCAGCGCGACGAAATGCGTCGGGGTCTTGTACAGGTTGATTACGTCTTGGAGCACAAGTACCACCTGGTTCAAGCACATGCCTATACATACACCAACCACAACCCACGTATGTATTAGGGTATACATGAAACCTCGATGTCATTCTTCGATATATGCAAAACGAATCGATCATCGCACAAAGCAAACGTCCCCATGCGGCAAAATATTTATATATAATATATATTTTTTACAGCCATCGGAACAACACAACGTACCAGCCACAGCAAAGCGCCAACTCAAATATATGTCGGCGTGGAGGATGCCGGCGTTCGGGTTTTCATACGGGTTGCCGTCCAGGAGGTACCAATACCGATAGAATCGCCTAAAATAGACGTGGAAAATGTATATACCAGTCAAGGCAAAGTGAATCGAACTGTTATAGTCAAATCAAGGGTAAATTTGTGGAATAGTGGGTTCTTGGAAATATAAAACAATAATAGTGGGACGTTTGGACATATATAAAATCAATATATGGCTCGTACCGCTCCAAGTCGGCGTGGCGGAAGGCCTGCGTCCATCGATAGCACACGACTTCTTTGGCATAATATGGATTGTGGATGCGTGACGACGCGTCGTCATCCGTGCCTATCCTCAACGTCATCGTTTCCACCACAGTGTTGTCATGAAGGACCTGAAAAGTTAAGCCCGAGTGTAAAGTTGCGACGTTTAAGCAGTTCCTACCATAGCATATACACACACACATATATATATGTCAAGACACAAAAAGTCGTCAACGCTGTCAGACCTTTTGGTAGCTCGACACCAAGCCCCCAATGACACTCATCGAGTAATTGAGGGTCGTAAACACAATCGACGACGTGGCATCGGGCCCGGCGGCGAGCTGCACGACGAAGAACACGACGACGATGAGCACCCCCACGACGGCCGAGTACGCGAACCGCATGCGCGTGACGTTGAAGAGCGGAATGAGCAAGATCACGAGGGGGTAGATGGGCCCCTTGGCCTGTTGGACGCACTTTTTCGCTATGAACGCCATCGACACGAGCACGTACACGCACGACGCAATGCTATTTCCCCAATTTTTTAGCACGGATTGCTCGTAGTACCAGAAAGTCGACTAGTACTACCACGCGTGGGTACCTTTCGAGGCGAGTGCGGCCCCACGGCACAAATGTCATGAGCACGCCAAAGGTAAACGTGGGTACGATGAGCCCAAAGCTCAGCCCGTACAACGCGGCGGTACCGCGGGGGTCAGGCGTTTCGAACGCGTTTAAAACAAACGCTTCCTGCCAATAGAGCAGACCACAGGACGCGGCGCCGATGGAAAAGCACAACCGCACGCGGAATTGATTCACGGCGTTCATGAACGCCATGTATTGGCTTTCATATGGCTCTACAACCCCCCACTGGGTTTACGACAACACGAGAGAGAGAGACATGGAGGTAGGTAGGTTGGTGGTCTACCATTGAAAAAGAGCAAGTTTGGGTCCATGCTCACTTGCTCTTGGCATTTCTGGAACTGCTGCTGCACGTACAAGCGCTCCTTCGCCCGCCGCGCCACCGCTAGATAGGTAGTTAGATAGTTAAGTTGGAGGGTTCATCGGTTGTTGTGAAAGGTGAGTGCCGTACTGAGCAACGTGAGCTCGGAATCGTCGGGCTCTTCGTTCGCACTCAGCACTTCGTTGAGCACTTGGTCGCACGATACTTCTCTACATGGGAATAGATACTCAAGTGTTGTCATGGGATCGTCGCCGTACTTGTGCACGTATTCGGCCTTGGGGCGGGCCATATGTTCCTAGTTTTGACCAGCTCAACGTCGCGAGCAGTTTCAGGTTGCGGTTTGAAACTGCCAATTGTAACTGCGGGTTTCGTCGTATACAACACCCAACTAACTGCGCATGCACTTTAACGTTATGCACGTGTGTATATTCACAGGCAAATCATTCATGTACCGCTTATATTCCCAAGAAACAAACTGTGATAACAATATATTGCAAATGTTCTGTGAAAACTCTTGTAGATCATAGCATTATAACCATGGTACACACATAACGAGTCTCATTAGAACGTTATAGACTCTGGGCGATCGGAGCAAACTTTATTGTTGTAGACTCCACCAAGGTGGCCATTGGACGCTTGGTCGATGATTGTCCGGAAGATCATCCGACACGTGGCCATTCACGTCATGGAACCCCTTGGCTCCCCCACCAATGCGAAACCCACCGACGTGGTTTCCCAACGTACTTCAAAGCAAGTCGCTTGGCCAACGTCCTCCCCCAGTACACAAATGGGTGGCAGCGACTGGTCGTCCAGCCATGAAAGTTGTTAGTATTTGGCTTGGCACTCGGCGTTGACGACAATATCATTTTATCCCTTGAGCCCACTCCAACACATTGACGCTCGTCTGCGCAGCCACTGCGACTTTGGCGAGAGGAGTCAGGGTAAACTTGGACGCCCAGCTCAGCTGGAGGATGGCCACGCCAAAGCCGACGAGCGCGTCCTGGTGTAGCTAGGGTGCGACGTGGCAGACACCACCGACATCCGTTCGTTGACCGACGCGCCACTTTTGTAGTGGGCGCCAAGAGCAACAAAGCCTGACTTTCCTTCCACAGCGCAACGGGCGGCAGTGGGGGGCGTTCAGAGCCCCCCCCGGCAGTCGTGCGGAGGTTGGCAGTCCTTACTGTCCGACGGGGGCCCCGTTTCGATTAACGTCAAGGACGTTCCTGTCGTGGTTCTCCATATCGTCAGTGGTGCTGGCGACAGCAGCAAGCAAGAGTTTCGTTACGCTACTTGTGTGTTGCCCAAAGTGCAAATTGAATTGTGCCTCCGATTTATACGGATAACCCTTAGATACTTAGATAGGACCACCCCCGACTTATTGCTCAACATTTTATAGGGGTCAGATTTATAGTTGAATAGATCCAAACATAAATCTGACCCCCAAAAGTTGTATAATACTGTAGGACTTATTCGCTAATCGATAAGCTCAAGGGTGTGTTTTAGACTAGTGAGATCATTCGCGGCGTCGAACTGCGGCATGCGCATCGACATGATAGATTTCTACTGTAACGTTTGATTGAATGGGATAGTCGTCATGTGGGATTCATTTGGTGCCGCTTTTACGTGTAGTCCGGTGCGGCGGCCTGAGTGTGTGAATCGGAATAAATCTCATGGGTGGGGAAATTGAGATTTATACCTACTACCGGTAGTACATTTATATGTTATAAGCCATATTTCGAGCCAACCAATACACTTGGTTTGAGCATCTTTTTTTATTGGATTCGTTGACGACGTGAGTAGTTAGTATTTCTTCTAGCCTTGGACGCCATAGTCGGCGCGATACTGTTTGATCGTTGTCACATATGTCTGGCGGTCGTCGGCGCTCAACCCGCTGGACGACGCGCCTTGGTCATCCTCTTCGAGAAGGCGTACCAAGCTGTTGAGGTTTGCAATTGACACGACCGGGATCTGAAACGACGCTTCCACGACCTGAATGGCCGACCGCGAGTCCGTGACCGACGCCTTCTCCTGGCGGTCTAGCGAAATCACCACGCCCACCACATTCGCCTTGGCCGCCGTCAAGATATGCATGGCTTCGGTGATAGCCGTGCCCGCGGTGATCACGTCATCAATCAGGAGCACCCTAACAACAACCCCATCAGTATCATTCTCCATCATAGACAACAACGAGGTACGGTATTTATTGCTCAATCGATTCCAAGCTGGAGTCGTCACAGCAGATCTAATAGTAGGAGAACATCGATTCCAGAACAGCCTGAGCCAATCAAATCACGATTCCAGAACCGCCTGAGCCAATCAAATATCACGTCATGTCGAATTTCTGCCAATCCCCCAAACGAACTTTGACCCCTCCTCAAAACCACATATATATATATATATATACTACTCGTTGTATAGCATAGTGTGTACAAGATTAAAAATACCACCCCATCACATATTTGGCGAAATGACCATCTCAAGTCCAACTTTTGGTGAAAATATGCACAAAATACCGCTTTCCAGCAACGTCGGCGCCGACCAGCACGCCGCCTTCGCCATGATCCTTGGCTTCCTTCCGGTTGAACGTGAATGGCAGGTCCACGCCGTACAGCTCATCGTACGCGATGGCCACGGCCGCCGCCAGTGTGATACCCTTGTACGCTGGGCCAAACAACACGTCGAATGCGATGCCGCTCGCCTAATCGTGAACAATGAGTACAAACTGTACATGCGACACGGTGCTACGGGATTTAACCACACGAAACATGACTTTATAAGGCAATTATGAAACTTAAACTTCATATTTACGAGCAGGACGCATCACGTTTTAATCAAAACAGCCGTACAATTATCCAATTACAATACAGTTGGTCCACATGAAAACGGAGAGACATGAACTATATATGCGACGGCGTCGGGAAAAGATGAAAGAAAAAAATAAATGAAAAATAGAAGACGTGGATAGAGCCGATAATAGATGATAGAGCCGATAATAGATGATAGATCAGATAATAGATGATATAGCCGAGAATAGATGATAGAGCAGATAATAGATGATAGAGCCGAGAATAGGTGACGGACATGGATGGTTTTCGCGTAGAATCGGCCAAGTTCGCGGAGCATGCGGCCAGTCTTGAAGAGCCCGGCGTTGAAAAAGTACGGGCTTTGACGACCCGACTTCAACGTGAACGACCCGAGCTTGAGCACGGAACAGTCGAGGCAGAAGCGGAGAAACTGCGTCTGGACGTGCTGCCGCTTGGTCGCGCGGACGACGTTGATGGCATCGCGGAGGGCGTGGGCAGCTTCGCGGGGGTTCGACGCCTTGGAAATGCCGCGAGACACAGGGAGGAGCAACCCAAAGCCGTCTTCCGACAGACCCGCGAGCACGGCATCCTGGAGGTTGCCGCCTTGCGCGCCGAGGCCTGGGGCCAGAAGCCACATGTCTGGGACGAGTCGACGGACGTTGCGGAGGGCGGCAACGTCCGTGGCGCCGACGACAAGACCGATGTTGTCCTACACCCATCCAAGCATCAGAAACATCAGATTCAAGTGGATGACGACGTTCCGTTGGGAATGAAGTCCTCGTACGTACATGGGTGTTCCATGCAAGGGCCTTCTTCGCGACGGATTCGTACAGTAAGGACCCGTCAGCCAACGTGAGCGTTTGGAAGTCGTCCGCCGATGGATTTGATGTCTTGCAGAGGACGAAACAGCCTTTCTCGGGGTATTCGCTCATGTTGATGAACGGATCGATGGAATCTTTGCCCATGTACGGCGCCAACGTGATCGCATGCGCCTTGGCCGAGTGAAATGCCGCAGACGCATAAGCAGCAGCCGTGGTGCTGATGTCTCCACGCTTGGCATCCAAGAGGACGGGAATCTCAGCCGGAATCGCGGCAATGACGCGGTCAAGGGCCGAGATCCCTTCCGCGCCAAACACTTCAAAGAACGCCGCGTTCGGCTTGTACGCGACGGCGACATCTGTGGTCTGAGCAATCAGGTCCAAGCAGAAGCGCTCGGCCGCGGCGGCGGTGGGCGCCGGCAGCTCGGTCACATGTGGATCGAGGCCCACACAGAGGAGGGAGTCGATCTTTTGAGCGCGCGCGCGGATTTGATGAAAGAACGATGGCATTTTCCAAAGTGACGAAGGTAAATAAATGGTGGGCTTTGGCTTGCAGCGATGTGATTGGTCGGTTTCATGGATGCCGCAATAATATTCCGTTTATACTAGATACTTGTATATGGACTTAATTTTCACATAGAAATTGCAGCGAATGGCGACTGTGGGGTGGACATCGATGTTCGCTAAAGTACGCTGTACTTAAATATTTCAAAAGAGGTGAAAGTTGAAATGCACGATAAATATTCACGCTAAAATATAATATTATTTGTTGTCTTTTCAACTACAGTAAACCTAACTTCAACTTGCTTCGTTTATGCCTTGAATGTTGCTTACATCTGATTTTGAAGTACAACGACTCGGAAAAGTGAGATGGGAAGTCATCGTCACTGGCAAAGCCGTCGCGCCACCTCTGTGAGCACGCCGCCCACACCAGCCACATCACTCAGCCTCACAAAGTGCACACGGTTCGCCCTTGCTCCAGCGGGGAATGTATTGGTGAGTGATGATGATTCTGCGCTGGCGGAAGAGTTCCAAGCTCAATGATGTACTGTATGCGCGCCGACAATAAAGGCACAGCGTATATATGGGATCCAGGCTTGGAATACCGAACGTTATGCTACTAGCAACGAGCCATGGTCATTTCCGACGCCAGTCACTCGGCAATATGCAGAATGCCCTTGTGTAGTAGAGCTCCATGGCACTTTTAGGGTGGCAGTGACGTGGCAAGGCACGGTTTGGGCTATCATGAATAAAACACATTCGGTTTTAAACCCGTTTTAAACACCATTTCCAAACACCTCGATCCAGAAAAAACGCCACCAAAATGGCCGACGACGACGTTGGCGCACCGGCGGCGGTGGTGTCCGGCGACTTGACGTGCAGTCCATGCGTCGAGGAGTCTCCACAGGATGCACAGGTAGAGGGAGTGCCGGCGACAACAGCCGCCCAATCCATCGACGAGGCTGCCAAGTGGAAGGAGCGAAGTGGGCGGTTGGGCAATGCCGTGAACCAGCAAAAGGCGCGCATTCAGGAGCTCGAAGAGTCTGACACGAGGTTAAAGCGCCTGTTGAACTTGGCCAAGCGAAGCATCGAAAGCAAGGACGCGTCCATCGAGTCCCTCAAGCAGCAGGTGGTGGAGCTCAAGGCGGCCGCGGCCAAGCAAGGGCGGCCCAAGGACCCACGGCGCATCTTGCACAAAGTCAAGCACGTCACCCATGCTGGCCAGACGACGCTGTGGTGCCTTGTCGAGTACACGAGCGACGACGACGACGAGTCGCGGCCTCCCGAGTGTGGGTGGCTGGCCTTCCAGCACGAAGCCGACCTGCTCGAGTATGTCCGGCGGGCATCGGGCGAACCCGTACGCGTGCCCGACTTGAGTCTGCCCCCTTCCGACGTCCTTCAAATGGTACCGTATTGTAGTTACATCTCTTTCTTCGTGCCGCATGTCCACATCTCGTTTCGGATATGTACGAAAACCCATCTCGATACGTAGAAACTCGACTTGAGCGACGAGCTGGAGCGAGTGCAAGAAGAATTCCGGCGGTATCGCGTGCGATCTGGTACGGTGGCTTTTATCTCACACGTTTCAACCGTCCATGTAGAAATCACGCGCAAACAAAAAGAAGCCGAATTGCGCAAGGTACGACCAACACTCTTGACATGCAGTGTACATCATTCCTTCTTAGATCAGCGCCTCGGCCTTGACCAAGCAAACCGAGCAGATTGGCGGCATGGACCTACAGCAGGAACTTCAAGCCGCCCGCGTCCAAGTGCGTCGGTTCAGCCAGCTCCAGACGTCCGCTGAGGAGCGCGTACGTCATGCCATTGTTGAAATCCATTGCTGTCTCTGCTACAGGATATATGTTGTCCGTGCAAAATAAATATTGATATGTGTCGTATTTAAAACCATATTGCCCAGTAGTGATTACTAGTATTATCCATTTTCTTTGTATAGAATATGACCGTTTGTAATTTTTGATAAACTCGTGATAGTTCGTTTGTTTGCATCCTGCAACGTACCGATCCCGTAATACCGTTAAATCCATTTTAATATATATATATATATATATATATATTTAATGTATATATATAATGTATATATATTTATATTTAATGTATATATATTTAATGTATATGTATATATATTAAGTATATATTATTTATTATTATGATGATGATTGAAACGTCCTATACAAACCCACTGGGCGTTGGCTTTTTTCCTGTGGCGCCCCGACTCGCCACACTATTTGTCGGTATGATTTAGGAGCGGGAATTGCAAGACAAGTACGACAAATTAGCGCGGGAGCATGCAAAATTGAGCGGCGCGATGGGCGAGACTGTACTCGCAATGGAGTGGCGGGCGCGGTACGAGCAAGCGGTGGCCGACAAGGCGGCGCTCGAGCAGCAGGTCGTAATGGCGGCATCTTCGAGCGACAGCAGTCGGCATGTGCTGGATGTGGACATCTCTGGGAACGACGTGGCCAAGCTCAAGATGGAGTTTGCACTGTATCGCAAACGGGCGATGCAAGTCGTGGACCTCAAGGACAAGGAGCTGCAGACCTGTCGCATACCCGGCACGGCCGGGCTACGGCGTATGAGTAGTTCTAACAGTCTGAATGGCTTCGAAACGTCGTCGCATGCGCCCACCACGAACGAGTACCTGAAGAACATTGTGATCAAGTACATGTCGACAGACCAGGACGAGGTACTAGTATACTTGAAAATGCTCATGTATATATATATATATATATTATAATATCGACTTGTGTGTGTGCGATGGGGATACGTAGGTGAAAGAACACATGGAAAAGGCCATTGCGACAGTGTTGAACTTTTCGAGTGCCGAAGTCAAGCACATCCAGGACAAGCGAAAGGGGGGCGCTGCGGGGGGGTGGGGGCTGTGGTGACCAAGCAAATAGATAGACACCTTGAATGGGCTGGCTCGTTAACATGTGTTAAAATCCGTATCTTGTTGTGCCCTTGTTGGCCTTGTTCGTCTAACAACGGCAGTCGTGGTTCTACCTATTTTTCAGCTCGAATTCGGCAAGACTTGTGAATTAGGAGTACCTTGGAGACGCGATGCACCAATCACCGTGTACCACGTGGCGCCCTGGCGTGCTTTGATGCGTCTAGCACATCATACATGGACACATAACAAGCCACGAAGCCCACTTAGACTGCAGTAGTACACTTGACACTGTGCGAATTAGGAAAACAAGTACCTACTGAGAAGTGTAGACCGGACAGTATTTCCTATGCCTCCAGAACACAATGACAGTGGTTTTATGACGAACACGTCACTGGCTCAGCAGGAGCCCGCACATTATGAGTGTACAGCCATCTCTCCACCTTCTTCAGATATGTTAGTCATTGAGTTATATTCGTGGAGTGAGCTGCGCCATGCACTCCCCTCCAACTGCTGCAGTGACCCCAACAGCTGACTATGACACATGTGACCCATTCATTGACTGTTGCAAATGAAAACCATGAATTGTTAGTTAAATACATGGCTACAAGTTACGAGCTACGCATCTCGTGCCGCCAAATCGATCGACGAGCTTAAACAGAAGCGGATGCGTCTTGGACTTCAAGTTCGTAACGTTAGGGTTCCACTCATTCGGGTGGAGAAGTTGGGGGGGCTGTCCAGCTGGCCACGTTCTAGTCGAGGAATCGATCTTGACGCTCGACGGCACCCCCTTCTCCCTGCACCCGCTGTGCCATGGGGGATTCCCCTCGTTGCTTCGAGTGGATGTTGGTACTACAGTTCCAACCATTGCGGTCGTCGCCGTCAGCTGCAACTTGGCGAGGGCGGAGTTACCCCACGAGACGTGTAACCTCGGCTCGCACCTCTTGTCGCCGAGCGATACGACAGGCGCGTTCGGCGGCGGCGGTGATGGGGGACAGCACTTGCACCAAGTGGACGGCGTTGGCGGACTGAGTTTTGTTGCCTATTTCTATCCTGGGTAGTCCAGAAAGCACATGATATCGGCCAAATTGCTTGGAGTGTAACGTTATGCTATATTACGTCAAACTAGTAGCATACACTCCGCTCAATTTGACGACCGTGTCGCCGATATGATGTGCGATACCGTGAAATCGTCTGCAAACGATTTACTGCACAACACGGTTGGGATAATTCGGCGGAATTTCACTGTGTCGCAGACATAACGTGCGATACCGCCAAATGTCCGCAAACGATGAGTAAATCGGCAGATTTCATGATAATTCATGTATGTACATGTACCCTCACCCTCGGTATTTAAAATCCGAGGTCACCGTCAGAAACATCTACTTACAAACAATTGACATGTTCGTCTTCACTGCGATTGGGCTTCGGGACAGATATGGACTTCAAGGGACCTTCCACTTCATAACATGTTATTAATGTCAAAGGTACACTTGTTAGACTAATCCAGCCCATGGAAGTGGCGCTGCTCATGGCTTTTGGCATTTGTGATGCTAAGAGCATCCCCACCGGTGCGACTGTAAACGCTATTATACAGTTCTATCCGGATTATTTTACAGTTTTGACAACCCCACCGGGCGACTGTAAAATACAGGAAACTGTAAAATTTTACCGGCGAGACGCCAAATCGGCCAGATTTACAGTCGCGACTGTAAAATACAGTTTTGACAAATTAGCCAATAACATGCTATCAATGGATAATTTTGTCCAATCATGTGCGTTATGGAGTCAATAATCAGTTGGTTCAGAAATGGAATCAGCCAAGGCCGTCCGTGGTTCCAACTTCACGACCGACGAAGACTGCCAGCTTGTCCGGTCATGGATCAACATCTCTCAAGATGTGTCCAAGGGTAGTACACATCACGCATCACCACACCGTCCATGATTCGTTCAAACAGCGGTCTGGCCATTCGAAAATGATTGCGAAACTTGGCTTCGCCGTAGATTGGATTGGGGTCAAAGTAGTAGGTAAATCCGAGCATGCGCAGCCTCGCTATGTCGTGGTAGGTCTGGCTGGCGGTTGGCAATAGAGCCTTTAGGGCGCGCAGAAGACTGATGAAAGCCAAGAATCTCCCAAGCTTGATCCATGTCATCATCGTCGTCCTCCCACGCCATCGCGCCAGGCGTTCATTTCCGGATAATAACATTATTCGGATGTTTTACAGTTTTACCGCAGGGGTTGACAAAAATCAAAAAGGAACTGTAAAACGGTATTATACAGTCTGATTATACAGTCGCACCGGTGGGGATGCCCTAAGTGTCATCTTGGGTGCGATCCAAATCTATCGCGGCGGTGTCCATCCCAATGTTTAATATGCGGTTGACTTGCTACGAATTTACGACATCGTACAGTAGAACCCAGCGATCACCCCAACGCTAACAAGCACCATCACAAGGTCATACATAACACGTTACAGCCTCATAGAACTCATAATAATGCTACCGTAGTGCACTTGCAACCCAAAATGCCAAGGACGACCCAAATGGGAATTAGCTTACCAGTACAATAACTGTTATTGTGCATTTCACCCAATTTGCCCATTGTTTTATCGCACTAATCAATGGATGACAAAATTAAAACCACACGTTAAACAACGCAAATCGAGAGTCTGGCACATGAGCTAAATATAGACAGGTCGTTATTTACTGGACCATCTCACTCGCAAAGTGGACGTGACCAATATGGAGCGCGATCGATTGAACGTCGCGTTCCCATCGTGTTGAATCTTGTTACGCTACGTCGTAAGAGTCCAAGTGTGAGGCGAACGGCGTCAACTTCAATGCCATAAACTTGGACAAGCACAACACATCTCCAACGCATGTCGATGCTGATCATTGTAAAACAAGTTGAATAAGATAAAACCGTGCACCTCCACCAATTCTTAGCCAATCAAAGCAGTTATAATTCAACGCGAACGGTAAAAATACTTCATCTTGCATCCGTAAAATCACGGGGAGTGCCGTAAATATAGGATGAGTTTTTATTAAAGCATGGTTTTAGACCTGGATTAGCCAAAAAAGGTGAAAAGCACAATAATTCAAGTTAGTGTAATACACCGAAAATGAGCATCACTCGCATACTCAACAACACCATGAAACACAATGTCGACCATCATTCTACCTACCCCAGTGCAACTTTACACACGTTACTGTAGAACTGAACTCGAGAATAGTACCGTTATTAGTTGCCCATTCCTCAAGTTTCGTCCATCCACACATGAATCAACGCGTCACTCGGAGCATGCGCAAGACGAGAAGCTTCTCCCGCCCCGCCGCAACAACAACAATCTATTGCAAAGTGCCTCGAAAGACTGGTGGCGCTGCTTTGATCAAAAAGGAACGCAAACAGCAGGGGGCTGCGACGCCAGTAAAACCGGCCACGCCCACGATCGACGGTGGCCTATGTACACCCCCTCGCAAACTCCCGCGAACGCGATTGAACGTGTCCCCACCCACGAAACTCCTCGCCCCACACGTTTCCCCATTCTCGTCACCACGCCAGCCCCCCCCCATCATGAACACGCCTCCTTCCAGCTTGCTTTCCACCGCCTTGTGTGCCTTTGGCCTCACCCCAGTCGTTGACATGCATGGAGATTGCATTATGGTCAATCTTCCAGCGTCGGAAACCAACGCCTCGTACGAGGTGTCGCTGTTAAAAACGTCAACCGAAGATCACTTTGCGTTCTGTCGAGACCGCAGCGGCGACGTCTGCCGCTTTGGCACGTACGAATTGCAAGGGCCATACCCGCTAACTCAGCTGACCCGGGCGCTTGTAAAACGAGAGTTCAGTGACTTTCGATTAGAATTAACGAGTAATGGCCCCAAGGAGCGTCGGTGTGGGATCTATGCCTTGCGTGGGGGCGCCGCCATCGTATATCCAGGCAGCCGACCTGCTGTAGTCAGTCAGCATTTCGAAAAATAACGTTAAGCTTCGACGAATTTATTGAGCATTCCTTTTGATGGACGTCAGGCTATCGGTACTGCACACAGTAAGTACTCTGGAGTACAAGTAATTGGCTACATTTTCTAACAATTAGTACCAAACAAAACAGAAACAAAAATCCACAATTCAAAATAAAAATGATTATGAAGCGATCGGATTGGCTGATACTGTCCAATCACATGGCATTCTATTCCCACCAATCAATTGAAGTTGGTGGCGCTTGGTGTGAAAGCAAAAACGAACGAACAGCATGGGGCGTCGGGCACGACAGAGCGCAAAGACTGGCGATGGCGGGGCCGAGCGGCGGCTGGCGAAGAAGCTCGACCAGCAGCGCAACAATAAGACTAAGAACTTCTCGAAAACTGACGACGATCTGGTCTTCCATGACGATCCGTCGGACGGAGAGGACATTCCCGTGGACGAAGGCAGCAGCGACGAGGACGCAGGCAGCGAGCAGGAGTTGATGCAGTTGAACGAAGACACGGAAAGCGAGCACGAGAGTGACTTGGAAGAGCGTGACGACTTGGATGACGAGGACGTGGACGAGGAAGGATTTGCCGCCGAGAAGGAACGCGCGTTGAAACTCAAGGATCAGTGGGGGTCGTCAAAGAAGCAGTTTTACTCGGCCGACACGGCAGATTACGAGATGGATTCTGACATGGAGGAAATCGCCCAGGACGAAGAGGAAGCGGCTCTGGAACTGCAACGCAAGCAGGCCGACCTCATGGACGAAGACGACTTTGCAGTCGGTGGCGCCGCGGACGATGCCGCCCTTCCCGACCAAGATGAGGAAGCGCGAGTGGAGGATGAATTGGCGGATATTCCCCTAGTCTACGACCAAGATTCGTCGATCGAAGCCGTGCAAAAGGACTTTTCCAAACTCACCAAGAACGACAAGCTCGCGTTTGTGCAGCAGTACGTGGCTTCGTTTCTACGAAACCAACTCGTGTGTGTCATATGTTTTTTCCACCTTTCGAATGTATTTTCCAAACGTAGTGTTGTGTTTTTTCCGTGTGTGTCATATGTTTTTCCATCTTTCGAATGTGTTTTCCAAACGTAGTGTTGTGTTTTTTCCGTGTTTGGTCGTTCGGTTACACGTTCTGCATGATAGAGTGAAACAGTTGAAAATACATTTTCGAAACGTGGAAAAAACATTTTCGAAACGTCGAACAAACAAACGCATGTTTGAGTTTTTTTCTTTTTCGAATGAATACCCACAATGTGGCTGACTTTTATTCTGAATCGATCGATCGATTCTTTCTTTCTACTCCCTTTTGTATGTAAATAGGGGCGGGGTCGTCATTTGTGTATATATCACACTAATTTGATAGTGTTGTTGATAGTTTCCAGCAATCCGATTCGCTCACTTTTTCTGCCGGTTCTTACGTACATATTTGGTTGTGTCGATTGATTCTCCAGCTCACTCAGACACACAACAATATATATATATATATATATATTCCAAGGAATAACGTTGTGTGTTTTTCCCATTTTCGATATACATTTCTGCATGGGAATGATGATCATCGTGATGTTGTATTGTGCTTTCGAGTGACATTTCATTGTGGTTTCTCGTTGGAGTGGGTAAATCGATTTGATTGGCTACCTCAGATGAGCTGAAAATTATTAGCCAATCAAAGCCTTCTCAATGAAATGCAACCACCAATCAGATCAGTTTGGTCGTCGGCGCGATGCGATTGCACCCCAAATTTTATATCAAATTGATATTAATGCATGCATTCTTACCGTAGAACGTCCCCCGAGCTGCTCGGGTTATTGGACGAACTGCAGCTGTACTTGGCGCAATACACAGAGAACATTCGGCCGGCGATTGAAAAGCTCGAGCTCAAAACCACACGTCAGAACAAGTCGAACGAGGCGCTTGCCACGGGGTTGGCGTACTTGAAGACCAAGGAAGCGCTCGTGTTGAACTACACGACCAACATTTCGTTTTACCTGCACTGCAAAGCCCAGGTAAAACACCTACATATCCTATTGTGCTTTCGAGTGAAATTTCATTGTGTTGTGGCGTGGTTTCTCGTTGGAATTTAAATCGATTTGATTGGTTTGATTGGCTACTTTGGATGAGCTCAACATTATTAACCAATCAAAACCTTCTCAATGAAATTCAACCAATCAGATCGATTGTGGATCGGTTTCGTCGGCGCGATTCGATTGCACCCCTCCCCAAATTTGTATCAAATCGACAATACATACACTCAACTGTTGTGTCGGAATGTATGTCGTAGGGCAAAGTGATGGTCGACCACCCCGTGTTGAACCATATATTAACGCTCCAGGACAAGTTGAGCGTGTGCGACAAGATCGATCAGCCGCTCGACGACCAACTCGACGCGCTGCTCAACGACCAAGACGTGTCGGAAGACGATGAGGAACATGACGATGGACTGGGCGCGTTCTTTCACACAGATGACGTGGCGTCACCACCACCCATCACTACCTCGACGAAGAGCAACGCCGCCGCCCAGAAGAAGCGCAAGCATGCCGAGGACGAAGCACCACCAGCGTTGACGGTGGATGAAGCCGCCGCGGAAGCGTTTTACAACTCGGTGGTGGAGTCCAAGAACGCCCACAAGTCGCTCAAGGGCGAGTTTTACACGCACGAGCCCAAGATCGTCGAGCCCGAGTTTGACAGCGACGACGATGACGACAAGAAGCGCGGCGCGACGTACCAAATGATCAAGAACAAGGGGCTCAAGGCGCACAAGTCCAAGATCAACCGCAACCCCCGCGTGAAGAAGCGTCTGCAGTACAAGAAGGCGCTGGTGCGACGAAAGGGACAGGTCCGCGAAGTGCGCACGGGCGAAGCGGCGCGGTACGGCGGCGAAATGACCGGGATCAAGTCCAACATCACGCGCAGTCGCAAGCTGTAAACATCAATACAAGTCAATATCGAAACGTAGTCGTGTTGATCCTCATTAAGCGTGCAGTCGACAGTAGCGGCAGACGGACGAGGAGCTGGTATATCCACGAGGCGAGCCTGTCGACCACGTGCCGTTTTTGGTGCATTATTCGTCCTTGGGCGTGACCGGCGGTTCCCACAGTCGCCATTCTAAGCGCACATGATGAGAAACGGGATTGGAGAGAGGTTGGTGGTGTGGTCACATTACCAGCATACTTGGGGATGAGGAACAATTCGTCTTCGGCTTGTTCTATTAACTCCTCGACTTGGCCGCAGTTGATGAGCTTTTCCACAGCGTCTTCTTCCTCGTGTTCCGTCACGACCTTAAGGCGGAAGTTCGTGATTTGCTCCACGGACGTGCGGTAGAAGCAGTCGGGCAAGTGCGTCTACGCCATCAAGCATGAGTGCTTACTTCGCATGCATATCGAGGAGGGCATACTTGGGTCGCCTTGAGGGTCTCGCCGTACAGCTTGATGAGATCGACGCGCCAGTTCGGGTTGACGGCCAGACCAACCAGACCCGTGGATGTCTTCTGGGCCACCGCCATCGACAGCACGCGAGTAGCTCGGAACATCCCAGCCACCACAAAAACCTAAAGTAGGAAGCGGTAGGCAAAGGTCGATACCCTCTTAAGTACGAGCGCACCTTATCGCGTTATTTCGGTTTAACGCGTTAATCTATTCAACGATGTCATCGCAAGTTAACGTTACGTTGTGAACTATGGCCGGTTCCACGGCATCATGCTATCAAACACATAGAGAAGAAGTATATGCAACACTAGATTGAAAGGACCCGTCGACACCCCTTGACGCGGGATGGCCGCTGACTGAGATAGATTAAACGTTACGTTAAACGTTTAGCTCCACTAAGTACGCAATCGAACCTTCGAGTCACTTCCATCGCCAATATCTGTTTGGTTGGAAAGCCCTCAGCGCCGCCCTAACATCATGTCCGCGACCGAGATTGGAACCCAGTTCGTCAAGTTCTACTACGACACGTTCGACAACAACCGCGCTGGCTTGGCTCCCCTTTACGTACGTCCTTGTGGACGCAATTGCAGCTCTGGAGTACTCACGGTGGCATGTAGACGGCGAACTCGACCCTGACGTTCGAAACCGCGACGCTGCAAGGCCAAGCGGCCATCATTGGCAAGTTCAACGAACTCCCCAAGACCCAGCACAAGACCGAAACTGTCGACATCCAACCCTCGTTGAACGAATCGTCCATTCTGATCTTTGTGACGGGCAAAATCATCGTACGTTCGTTGAACGCATTGGTTTTATTCTGCGACGCATTGACATGCTGCTTGTGTTAGATTGACACGAACCCCCCGCTGCAATTCACGCAAGTGTTCCAGTTGGTCGCACATTCACCCGGCCAGTTTTACGTGCACAACGATGTGTTCCGCCTCATCTATGGATGAGTAGTTGTAGTTTTGCGCGGGGAAGCGAAGACTCTTCGCGCGATGAAGTAGTAGATGATCGTCGTCCTATGCGAAATCAATCAAGCCTGCTTATTCTTCTTTCATGTGTTGTGATCTTCGTGGGGATGTAGCATGCATCATCGTTCCGTCGACATCTTTTGCACTTTCCATTTGGCGCAATCCCATGTATTTTCGCAAAACCAGCGAAATATTAATATAGTAAGTATTATTAATATTACTATTAATAACGTTAGTAAAGGCTTCAAAATATTTGAATTTCTTCAAACACAACATGATTATGATAAAATAGATTGAAACCACCACCAGCCGTTTCTTAAAGTGCAGTCCCATCGTCGTCAAGCATGTCCGAGGTACTTGTCTCTCCTCCTGCGTGTCATATTCCGTGAGTTATGCATGATTGATAATGCTAGGCGATGCTGGCGTCCAACGGCAAAGGCGACAAGGCACGCCGTAGCCAGCTACACCTCAGAGACTAAGCATTATGGTATCGTTGGTAGGAGCGGTTGACTCTGATGGAGCGGCAAGACAACGAGACGGGGAACGCCCCTATGCTCGCGCAGTTGCGAGTGCGTTCAAAGACATTACAAGAATTGCGGGATGTCCTGATGACGAGTGTAGATTAGTGAGCTGGACAAGCTGGTGGCACGGGTCAAACAGAAGCAGGCGCTGTGCAACGAACTGGTCAAGCACTACAACAAAGAACTGCAACACATTGAAAACGAGTCCAAGAAGATCCACGAGCGCTACGATCCGTTGTGCAAACGACTGGAGCAGCGGCTTTTAGAGCAAGAGACGCAAAAGCGCCAGTACGACGAGATCTCGAAGTCCTTTGGCGAGGTGGTGCAAAGGTTCCATCTGTAGGTACTTGATGTACTCATCTGTTTGGAGTAGATACTGCACACGACCAAGACAAGGCTAAAGAATAGCCAGACGGACGGCATCCGCAACCTCCGCCGCGAAGCGAACAAGGAGCTCACCGACAGCCGCGGGTTTGCCTCGGACGTAGGCAGCACTTTTAAGCAAAAATATCGCAAATAACTTGAATTTTATTCCGATACTTGATATTATTTGTTTTGAGAGGCAGGTCATTAGATCCAAGAGGCAGCGAGACTGTAACGACTGTGAGAGAGGTCATGAGCAGGGAGCATCTCCTCGGCGACGACGACGAGAGCATCGTCCTGGCGAGACTTGGCGCTGTGGGGAGTATCACCATTGACGGATGGTCTAGTGCATATGACGACGCATACCCCAAGGCCCTCAAAGGAGTCGGTACGTCGAGGTGTAGTGTGTCAAAAGTCTCACGCGACAACGAATCTAGTGCCGCCAAATGAGTTTCACACGTGCATTACTGCGATCAACCAGTCCGTGGATGACTACTACCCGTGCATTCCATGCTTTGGATGTGGGTACCTTTGCTGTGTGGCGTCGTTCGGGCTGTCCCTCTTAGTCCCGCAGCCGTGCACCACGGAGGTACTACGCCTATGCTTTATCATAACGTTGCTCACGATGATGGGGCTATGTGAAGCTGGAAAAAGCCGTCGAATTTGTGCTGCATCGCATCAATGGACGGGACGACTTCCTCTACCGTGGCATCGTGTGGAAGGTCGTTCGACCCAAGCACACGCATACGTCGTGGATTGAGCTACGACAGCTCGCATGTTAAAGAATGTGTCAATGTAGTACGGTGTCTTTGGTATTGGGCTGTCGATGTGAACCCGTCGTTGACGTTTGTCGAGGCTTGCAACAATACGGCTGCTCTGATGAGCCCTATGTACTTCCTAAAGCCAGCTAACGTCGCTGGAACTACCAAGTGACGAGATCCTCCATACTAGTTAGTGCTATGTCCCCAGTTGTCTAATGGATCGTTTGTGTTGATTATTCGGTGGACGACTGCAGAATGTAGGTAAATACGTTATTTAACGCGTTTTACAGGTTCGTGGCTGGCGAGTCTCTCTTGCAAGTGCTGCTACCTTCGTTCAGAGTCCTGAGGTATACAAATTTCTAGTATATTCGTTCAATGTATCGTGATCGCACGCCCACTTCGTGGTTGCATGTGTTTGACTGTGGTTGAAGTCGTAGGTGCAGTGGACCAATATCACGTTTAAACGTCTCTTTTCGCATTCGGAGTGTATTTTATTCTTGTATCTTCGTCGCTCCATAATTTAATTCTAGCCCGTGGATACAAACAGCACATGTAAATAAAATATTATGTATATAAAATAAATTATGGAACCGTTGGAGCCAACCAGGATGGTGGGTGGCTCTGTGGCATTTGAAGGGGGTTCCAAAAGCAGTTCCACTGTCCAAGGTAATCGCGCCGCCGCCGTCTTCATTGACGAACCGACAAGAACATGGAAGCTCATACATCGTCATCCATGAATCATAGGCTATCTTCCCCGTCTCCTATGGAGACCGAATGTCGTGAGTGTGGAAGCGACGACATCGTCGAGGATTATGCGGCCGGGGACCTCATTTGTCGGGGTTGTGGCATCGTCTTGGCCGAGCGTTTGATTGATGAGACGGCTGAATGGAACAACTATGCAGAAGACGACCGCGATCGGGGCAACCAGAGCCGCATCGGGGAAGCGGTGGACTCCCGGATGGGCGAGACGACGTTGCAGACGTTTTTAGTGAAATCGGCGTCGCACAGCGAAACAGCCACCCCCAAGTACCTCAATGCCGCCCCCACGACCACGTCGATGCGACGACACGAAGGCGTAGAGCAAATCAAGACGCTGGCGCATGCGCTGAACGTCGGCGCGCTCGTCGTGGACTGCGCGATCACGATCTACGCCAGGGTCGACGAGGAGAACCTTTTCGCGCACAAGAAATCCAACGAGCGGAACGGCGTGTTTGCCGCCATTTTGTTCATGGCATGCCGCGAATGCAGCCACTCGCGAACGTTGAAGGAGCTGTCCGTGGCTTCGGGCGTGGACATCAAGCGCATCGGCAAGTCACTTGGCGTGATGTCGCGCACGTCGATCGCATCAAAAAAGCAGGCTGGCACCGAGGACTTTTTATCGCGTTTTTGCTCGTCGTTGGACCTGCCATCCAAGACTCCCATCCTGGCCCTCCAAGTGGTCGAGAAGGCAGCGAAGATGGGCCTCGTGGACGGGAAGGCGCCGGCGGCGGTGGCGGCAGCGGTGATTTACATGGTGGCCGCGTACACGAACGTGAAGCGATCGCTGGACGAAGTCGCCGAGGCGTCCCTCGTAGGCAAGAAGGTGGTCAAGGACGTGTGCAAGGTGCTGCACGAGAACAAGTCGCTGTTCGACGACCTCAACCAAGTGTTGGTGTAAGTATCCTATGATGCATCGTTCATGCGTGGACGCCAGCCACGTCACTCAGCTCCGAGATGATTCCGTCATGAAGTGTGCATGTTGTCTGTTGTAGTGGGGCTGCGTCGTGAGTGTCAAAGGTCCGTTGTCGTCTTGCACTCCCACACACGACCTTTCATTCAAGATGGTCAGTCGTCGTCGATCGATCTTTTCGACTGACACACCTTCTAACAACAAATATTATTTATCCCAAGTTCATATTATTATTATTGAAGTAGTAACTGTACCAACATGGTGTATTTGTATTGAAGCCGAAACTTCAAAACAAGCAATAACGTTACTATTGATACAGACAAGACCAAGTATAATTGTTGCCACAAAAATAGTTATATCTTGCCGTACTGTAGAAGTACTACGTACTACAGTAGTACTTGTAGTACAGTAATAGTAGTATATGACTAAAAATTGGATCTATTTCGAAAGATTGATAAAAACTACTACCGTAGTACTAGTAGTCCAGAGAACAATGGATGTTAGGCGTTCTTCGTCGTCGTCGCTCAGCAAGGTGGTCGCAGGCACTGCGTTTGCGCGGGCTCATTGCTCGCTAATGTTACTGTACTCTAGAATGGTCACAATATGAACAATATTGCTCGTTTCAAACAATAAATTATTATTATTACTATACCGGTAGTAGCAATATATTGCAATGTACTAACGTTAGTGCTACTTTTTACTTCGAAGTATGCAATAACTAACGGTAGTAAAGTTTAGTGTACTGCAGGCTGAACGACGGAAGTCAAAATGTAGCCATATTCGAATGACAATTGCTGGTGTTGTGGTCTTTACTATACGTATACTAACTACCTAGTAGTAGTTATTTGGAGTCGAGTTTGGCGTCGGAAACTTTGGCTTGCTTGGCCTGCTTCATCATGACGACAAACACATCGAAGTCCGTCGTGGCCACTAGCATGCGCGAGTAGATGGCGATCGTCCCGTGGGGATTGTGGTCATGGGCCTACACACATATCAGCGTCACATAACCAAGTCCACAGAATAGAAGTTTGGTCTCATGGCAAGTTGAATGTTTCCGTAAAGAAAACACTAACACTACCTTCTTCACAAGGGCATAAAACTCGTCCACGGTCGACCCTTGGCTCTCAATGAACGCTTCAATCTTGGACTCGAACAAGGCCGTGAATTGCGTGTAAATGTCCGTGTACCTAGTAGTATGAATATATACGTACACAGTGTCACAGACAGATACAACCAGTGTCGTGTGATGTGGACGTTGTCCTACTCGAGGTGCATTTCGTCGGCTTTGTCGTCAAAGATATCGCAGTGGTTGTCGGCAAACCGTTCAAACACGCGGCAAAAGTCTTCGTTTTCGAAAAAGAAGGCGATCACGCGGTCGACAATCGTGGGGGGATTCGACTTGGCTTCGGAAGAAGAAGCAGATGCGGCGACGGCTTTTGCATCGCTCCGATCGTCGTCGTCGTCGATATCGGCATGCTGGTGACGTGTGGATTTGCTTTCGCTTGGCATGTATCCACCTTGGTAGATGTATTACTACGTACTAGTATGTAACGGTAGCGATAGAATCGTGATAAGTAACTGATGGCAATATGAAACCGTTTATGAAACGTTCCACCCCGCGAAACGGTTCCACATGTATTGGCAGTTCTGATTAATAGTACTATTAATATTGTGCTTTCGAGTGAATTTCGTGTTGTGGTTTCTCGTTGGAATTTAAATCGATTTGATTGGCTACTTCAGATGAGCTCAAAATTATTAGCCAATCAAAACCTTATCAATGAAATTCAACCAATCAGATCGATTGTGGATCAGTTTGGTCGGCGCGATTCGATTGCACCCCCTCCCCAAATTCGACAATAATAGTAGTATATTATTTCCGCGCCGCGTGCAACGCCATGGCGTCCCTCGTCCGCCGCATCATGAGCACAAACACGGAAAAGTCGCACACGGCCACGAGCATTTGAGAGTACACGGACAGCGTGCTCTCGGGGTCGGCTTCGTACGCCTACCCATTCCCAGTTAGCTACGGAGTGGACATATGAGGTTGGTTGCGTCGTACTTTCTGGACAATCGAGTAAAACTCATGGACGGTGGATCGCTGGGATTCAATGAACGCTGAACAGAATATAATGGATACAGCTATATGTGATGGATAAACTGGGTTGTACATACCTTCGAGCTTGCTTTCGAAGAGGGCCGTGAACCTGTTAAACACGTCCGTGTACCTACGAACACGTGTGCATAGTATGGTCAAAGCACGTTTCATGCCTTCTAGCCATGGCGATCGTGTTGATGCAGGCATGTCAATGGCGTTGTGTACGTACTCGAGTTTCATCTCGACCTCGTCCTCTGTATCAAACAGGTCGCATTCCCGCTCGGCAAAGTCTTGAAAGGCTTGGTTGAACTCTTGGTTCTCGAAGAAGTACGTCATGACCTTGGTCACTACGTTGTTGTCTTCGTCAAACTCTTCGTCCTTTGCTCGTTTAGCCCCGCTGTCGCTGTCTCCGCCACTACAACTTTGTTTTACATCGCCATCGTCGTCGCCGGCGCAGCGCTTGGCTTCCTTGCTCTCGCTTGGCATGGTGGATTGTAATCTGAAACCGCTAACATACTTGACGTGTTTGAACGTGTTTGATTAGCTGTAAATACATTCCTTATCGAACTTGTTTGATTCGCTGAGAAAAAATTAAGCCAATCAAAACGCGTTTAATCCACCAACCTAAAAGTATGTATGTGTTCTTACAGTTCTTAATTTAATAAAGCGCACTATTTTACACTTAAGTGCTGTATCGGTTTTGACCATTTTAAATAATTGTGTAACCGTTTGAACTCAAGCTTTTATAATCTCAAATGTTATACGAGTATTTCATGCGACATGGTATTTCAACCATTACAGTACTCGAAAAGTGAAAAGTACAGTAATGTACTATTAATAGTATTCTACTTCTCCCTACTGAATTTCATATATTTTTTCTGGGAATCTCAAATACAAGCACAAAAGGGCTCGCTCGACCACTGTAAAATCAAAATCAAGCAAACAAGTCGGCGTGGCTTTTGTTCACGGTATAGAGTGGCCAGAGCTACATCAACTCGTCTTCGCCACCGGCGTCGTCGTCTGGCACGCTGAAGTCGCCTTCCGCTGCGTAAAGGACCTCAAAGATCTTCTTGATGACGTCTGTGTGCTGGGACTCGTCCAGTTCCTGGAGCATGGACTCGATGTCACGAAGTTTGCCAAAGTAAAAATCGCGCTCCTTCTCCAAGCCTTCAATCTACATCCCATGGTCGATTCGTGTGCACACATACATCATACAATATTCGTACCTGTCCGCGCAAAATCCCGTTTGCTTCATTCAACTCTTCGTTTTCACGGATAGACTCTTCAAGCTCCTTGCTGCTCGCCGCGGAATCGCCTACCATCGTCATGAGAACCAACGTTAATACCAGCGATACGTACTCGTACGACGGAAGCCACCGGCTTTCTCCTTCTCCACAGACACGGGTGCACCGGGAGGCTTGGCAGATGCTTTGGACGTCGATGCGACCGGGCGCTTCTTGGCTGGTGCCGGCGCTCCCGCGGTCGCACCTGCAAACTTGTACTTGGCCGAGTATGCGGCGCCGCCTTTACCCTTCTCTCGCTGTGCAATGGGGTCGTAGTCGCCCGCTCCCCCAGCATTCAACTCGTAGAATCGCTTGTACCATTGCATGAACTCCAAGTTGTCTTGGTACTTTCCTCGGATGAGCTTGTCCACCTCGATGTGGCGATCAATCTTGAGTGTCGTGAACGTCTTCTGCAAGATTTTGTAGTTTTGGATGTACTCGTAGTCCTTGTTGGCGCTCCAGTCGACCTTGGACATTTGAACTTTCCCGGGGTAAATCGCATCGAGGATCTGACACGCGACGGCACCTGTGCACGTTTGCTCTACCTTGGTCAAGCTCAACGCGCATGTGGCATTCACCCAGTCCAGGATATCCTTGCGCCCCACAAAGTATGCGCCGTCCATCATCCCAATGCTTTGATCTGCTGCCGCCATCTTGCCGTCTGGGTTCTCTTGTTGGCTTGTGATCGACAACGTTGGCACAATACAAGTCCACCCCACGTTGCCGTCATCGGAATTTAAAATAAAAATGTTTTCATTGCATACTGAACACAAGTAATTCCATTTCGAAATTCGTAATTTTAAATAGTGTTTTATTCGTACGAAGACGTTTCAAAGATCCAAGAATACGAAGTTCTATTGGCTAATATTCTGAAACTAGTTGGACTTTTATCCAATGAAATGGTTTTGAATGCTTGACATTTAAAATGCATATCCCTCGATGAATTGCCTTAATAAGTACACGTCAATTGGATTGGCCAAGGCAGTCCTGCACACGAATATGGCGGCGAGTCTGTCGGCGCTGTTGCCGTACTTCCCTCCGGTGGACTTCGCCATGGGGTATGGGTCTGCTGTGTTCCAGCAATCTGGGCACAACGACTCAACCTCCATGATCGACTTGGTGTTGGCCGTGGAAGACCCGCTCGCCTGGCACACCGAGCAGTTGCAGCGACACCCCGAGCATTACTCTGGCATCAAGCACCTTGGACCGGAAGCCATCGTGTACGTGCAGGAGAACTTTGGCGCCGGGTGCTACTACAACACGTTGGTTCCTGTCCCTGGGTCTTCTCAATTGAGTACGTTTCCACCTTGTGTACTACGACATCCCACGTTCTCGTGTCTAGTGAAGTACGGGGTTGTGAAGACCAGCACGCTGTGTCACGAGCTGACGGAATGGTCGACGCTCTACCTCAGTGGTCGCATGCATAAACCAGTACGAGGAGTGTGCTTTTCATGGGGAATCATATACCGATCGTGACCATGTCTATTGCTTAGGTGAACATCATCACGTCCACTCCGGCCATTGACGCGGCGGCGTCGACGAATTTAACCAATGCGCTGCACTTGGCCATTTTGGGTCTGCCGGAAACGTTCACAGAAGAGCAACTGTTTATGGTATTGTGAAATTCGCTATAACCGTCCAAATTTCGCGTGGTTTGTCTATTAATCAATATGGAATCACGCTGGAGTTCTGATTGGTTGAATATACAATTGTGATTTTTGTAAGAGCCAATCAAATCCACGCAAAATTGGATTAGCCAATAGCGTCGATTCGTGATTCGATTCGACGAGGTCTGGAAACTCCATTATAATTGGCCGAGTTCTTTCGATGTCAAGTTTATTTATATTGTTTGATGTGAGGATACGATAGAAAATCGCAGGCATTTCGTATTGGGGCGATTTCCGCATGGTATTTGGCGAAAACCCGAAAAAAGTGCGCAATATTGTGCACGGCAGCCTTGACAAGTTTAAACAACTGTACCAACCCCAGATTGACGTAACTATATATATATATATATATATACTACTAGTAGTACTATCTATCTATCTAGACATCGCCGTTCGTCTGCCGCCTTCACGGGTCGAACCTCCAAAGCGACATGAGTCCCGAGGCCAGGAACGCGATGCTCCTGGGGTTGCCGCATAACATCACGTGTCGGTTGAGTGAGAAGAGCAGGCTCAAGGTAACCCAGACCCCCCATGGCAAGAAGCTGCTGAAATTCGCCGTCAGTGCCGTGGTGGGGCAGTACAGTCGCACGCAGAGCCTCAAGGGTATTGCCACGGCCGGGGGCATCAAGACGCTCGTGTATGTGTGGCAAAAGCTTAGTCGGACGTACCTTGGTAAATAGACAACCACCACCCGTCGACTTCGAGAGGTTCCTGTATTCCTCCGACGCCAGTACAGAACGAACCTTCCGTTCGAACCCATACACATACTGTAGTACAATGGTTAATAGAAGTCGAAATAAATAGCAAAGCAGATTAACAAAATTAGATACCTTTGGTTCATAATAATAGGGTTTGTCAGTATTTTGAGAACAATTTTTTATTGGCTGTATGTACTATATTTCATATTGGGTCTTTCTTGCTTTTGATTGGTGTATTAGGAATCACCCTTTGATTGGCACGTGATAAAACGGCAAATTTCACTGGAATTCACAATATGTACAGTACTTCGTAATAGATGGTGCGATTGAAAATGACCTCGTTCGTAGAATTCAACTTTCTCATCGCCCAGGACCGTGATTTCAATGCTGAAATTTGTTGCTGCATGAAGCTGATAGGTTGGTAACTCTTATTTCCTATTTACTGCTAATCGGCTTGAATAGAGTTCACCTTTACTCTGATTTGAAATCAAAACAAAATACATAGGTGGGACGGTTTAAGCTTCAAATATGTATGTACAAATGCCATGATCAAAAGATTACAATATATTCGGATACAGTATCCGGATTGATTCGATGTGAAATTCGACGACACAATTCACAAAGTTGTCGACGTCATGGGTGACCGAACAAGCAATCGTGAAGGCAAAGTCCGCTTGGAACCGGGATTCAGTCAAGTGGTACGCACCATGAACGTGCTGCGGTGGCTTACCCCTCTTGACTCGTTGCCGGCCTTGTAGCACTGGATGATGCTGACTCAGAAATCGAAAGACATGACAGGCGGCCACGGCGTGCGGCGCAACATTTCCCGCGAAGAAATCGCTCAGCACAACACAGAGCACGATTGCTGGACGATCTTGGATGGAAAGGTGTACAACTTGACTCCATACCTTCGATACCACCCTGGTGGCGTGGGGAAGCTCATGTTGTCGGCGGGAGGGGATTGCACGACTTTGTTCAACGAGAGCCATGCATGGGTCAACGGTCACGGCATGCTCGAGGTACAGTGGTACATGTGTCTTTATCCTACGTTCTTCATCCTCAAATCCTCATTCGTGTGGTCCTGGCACGCAGAAATGCTTCTTGGGGACGGTCGAGTCCACCCCGAGCACCGTCGCGTCGTCGGCAAAGGACTCGACGGTGGTGCTCAGCTCCGTGGAGTATCGTTCGTTGCGACTTCTCTCTGTCCGAGATGTAAGCGCCATGACCAAACTATTTCAGTTCGAGTTACCTCGCGGAAAGACCCTCGTACGTGCACGCATATATATATATATATATATTATCAAGTGATAGCTCGATGGTATATATATATATATATACCATCGAACTATCACTTGATAATTATTTTCGTGTCCAATTTGATGTGATAATGCTACGTATGTGAATTAAATCTGACTCGGATTTTTTTAATACTACTCCAGAGTACAAAGTATTTGAAACGGTGCCAAATATATGTAGTACTACTACATTATAGTATGGCCAAACAAACATTCCTTATTTGCCACACGATTTAAATATGTGGCCCCGTACTATCATAGAAATCGACACATGTTAATAACGTTGTTGAATTAGCTTTATTTTGAGTTCTTTTATTGTGCTTTCTAGTGAAATTTCATTGTGTTGTGGCTTCTCGTTGGAATTTAAATCGATTTGATTGGCTACTTTGGATGAGCTCAACATTATTAACCAATCAAAACCTTCTCAATGAAATTCAACCAATCAGATCGATTGTGGATCGGTTTGGTCGGCGCGATTCGATTGCACCCCCTCCCCAAATTTGTATCAAATCGACAATATTTTGAAAATTATGTTTTTTATCCATATTATGTTTTCATCCATTCGTAACACCATTGTCGTAGGGCTTGACCCTGCCAGGCCAGCATGTCAAAGTACGCGTCGCCATACGTGGCACGTTCTACGAGCGGGCGTATACTCCTATTTCAGCCATCCATCAGGTACTACTTACTGTACATATAGGAGTATCCTTTGCAAACCACCTGAGCAGCATATATGTATGAGCGGTTCTCTTGTAGAAGCACACGGTGGACATTTTGATCAAAATCTACCCCGACGGCATCGTGACATCGCATTTAGCGGCACTTCCCGTGGGCAGTTTAGTCGACATGCTGGGGCCGCAGGGGTCGTTCGGGTACTCGGGCGTCGGCACGATCTCGCTGTCTCCATCCGTAGCCGCCCGTCCCGTGACGGACATCGCCATGGTGGCCGCCGGAAGCGGCATCACGCCCATGCTGACCCTGATCAACGCCGTCATGCGGGGCTCAGTGTTCGACACGACCAAGCTCACACTCATCTACTGCAACCGGTCGCCGGCCCATGTGATTGCCAAGTCGACACTGGCGCCGCTGCACAACATGTTTCCTGGGCGCTTCCGATGGTTGAACGTCCTGTCGGTGGACAGGACGTCGTCGGTGGACGGCGGCGAGAAGAAGGAAGCGGACGACGAGGATGTCAAGCCATTCGTGGTGGGCAGTCGATTGACCCGCGCCATGCTCGAGGCGAACCTCCCGCCCCCATCCGACCAAGTGTGTGTCGTGTTTTGCGGACCCCCGTCGTTTGACGAATTTGTTGGCGTCGAACTGCGCGCGTTGGGATACCCGTGGGTTCATCAGTTTTAGCCTTTGAATAAAACGAGCAGCATGAGGGTAGTAGTACACCTTGTTGCAGTTAAGTTGGACGAATGCTGCCCGATATATTTGGTCGTGTGGTCGATAGATATACTGTATTTGACGGTGTGCCCGTTTAATTTGGCACACCGAGGTCGTGTGCCCGATATATTTGGTCGTGCGCCCGATATAATTGCCCGTGTACCCAAGCAATATTGCCCATGTGCCCGAAGTATTGTGCCCGATGAAAATGGAAATCTCGCAATAAAAAGTCAATTCAATATAGAAATGGTCGTCAAACGATACATGACGCATCGTTGCTGAGACGTCACATACCAACGCCCATGTTGCCCATGGCCTCCGCGCGTCCATCGAGGGTGCGTGCCTTGAGGTAAATCGGAAAATGAGCTCTGCGCGCGACAGATTCAAATTTTGGTGGGAGTTGACGTATGGACGGAACGTCAAGTATAGGGGCAACTGTATACTTTATGCAAGTAAAACTATCGGCTTCAATGTATTAAAAGTATTGACATTTGATAGTGAATAAAATATACTGCTATTAATATATTGACTTCAATGTATTACTAGTACTACGCGGCTGCCACGTCATATCTGTCGCATCGGTAGGAATGTTCGCGTAACGTTAGGACCATGTTAGGAGAGGTTACTCCTCAAAGAATCATCGGAATTGATGTAGTAATGTGAAGCTGAGCCCAGGCACGGAAACCACTACGTGTATCCTGCTGCTATTTCTTTCCTTAGTCAACATATAAACACAGTAGCTTGGCTTGCCGTGATGCTCAGCTACATGGCAAGCCAAGTACTTCTACTGTATCGAGTTCATTGTATGAGCGATGTACAGTACAGCACTGCAGCCACAGGCTCAACATCGTTTCCAGCGTTTGTTTACTCTACCCATGGTTTGCCGTGATCTAATTACAGTAGCTACTTGGCAAGCTAAATAGTTTGGACCAGCTTGCAGTATTAGTCTCGCTACGTATGGTGAATGCCACATACAGTACCGTACTGATATTGCTGGTGTTGCATGTCAACTCGACGTAGTCTGACTGTGAACGTGGACATTTTATCCGGCTAAAGTCGACCAGTACTGTAACAGCAAAAAATATTTTTTCACAGCACCAATTAGAGAGGACTAACTGTAACTTACTTCAATACAAGCTGTTCATAGGGCATATATGACCCGCAGTTAACTGTAAAGTGGGTCATTGTCACACCTGGTGTAATGTAAATGTTACTAAGTTATATTCATTTTTGAAATATATCAAGAAATAGGTTATAGAATATTATTACTCACGTTGGTATAGCACATACTGTAAACGTGTCGAATTGGAAAAACAAATGATCGGGTAAAAGCGGGTCTGGACGCCACGGCACATGGCATAAAATTGCCGTTTTTCCAAGACAAGTTGCCAAAATCGAACGAAATGGTGCAAAATCACCCGAATATTAGGATGATTTTGCAACAAAAATAGTCTTTGTTCAAATGTTTATGCCACCATGTTCATGAGATTTGGGCGTATTTTTACAGTATAACGTTAAGTGAAAATGGACCGATTTTTCGTCCACCTTTTTTACGGAGGTCTGGATGGCACCTCGTAAAATTATGCCATAAACCGATTTGGCAAGTCTGCAAACATTTCCCAAAGTATCTCCCATGAAAAAGGGAGAAAAGGAGTATCTACAGTAATCGATTGACAGTGCAAGACTTCACACTGTCAACGTGAACTCAAACGAGATGTTGCAAATATTCCAATGAAATGATCCAATAATTCTAGTGGAATATTCGAGTTTTTGCAAATCAGCAAACATCCACATTCGCCATCTCCACTCCTTGGAACAAGCACTACCAGTGTCGCTTGAGTGCTGTACGAGTCATCGTCGAGCGTTTGAGTGCTGTACGAGTCATCGTCGAATGGTGAATGCCATCTCCTTTACTAGATGAATGGTTGGGAGTGTGTCCTACTTATTATACTCTAATAGTAGAGGATTGTCCAGCCAAAATTTCTGACTGGTGATTATTTGATGAAAACTCCAGCAAATGTCTCACATTTCATTGGAATATTCCCGTACTTATGCAAAATCACATCACTCTAACTTACTATTAATAATAGTATTGTACTACAGCATTGTCGCAACTTTATTGTTAGTGTCAAATTGCACCAAGGGTCAAAACTTTTATGTTTGCATACTAAACACTGCGTTTTTTTCCATAGCAGGTCTTTGACTATCGTCGCCGCTGCTACGCTCTACCCGTTCAGTTACATTCCACGCGCCGCTGCTATAAGCTTATGGTACCCAATTCTGCCATTCCCAGCGAGTTGGTTGTGTGGTTGGGCGTCGTTGGTCGCTCGAAAGGTGACCACGACCTGTTACTACCATTACTATCTTGCGTAGAAATATCTAAACAGATTGGACGATTGAAAAGTAGAGTCGACGGGGTATACTCAAAGCAAGTGTATTTTAACCAACAATTACCTGCCCCGACCCGATTTTACGACCGGAAATCCGAATAAGGGTGGAATCGTAATGAAATGTTGCAGCATGTGATTGACGTGCCAGTCGCGCAGATATCTCCCACCATATCCGGATTGTCCGGATAATGGCTTTAACCGGCGTTTGAGTCTCATTTTGAGACGGAGAGGCGCGCGATTCGTCATATGCAGCATCAGCGCCGGCAGCAACATCCACACCACGGATCCTTGGATGCGATGAATGAGTCGATCCATTCCTTAAACCTCAATGCAGGAAGAGGGTACGCCAACAACATGGGATCGTATCAGGTGGCGGAGTCAGATGTGCACTCGGACATGCCGTTGATGATGAACAGCAACGATGTCAGCGTCGACGACTTGGACTATGACGGCGTGGAAGTCGAAACGGCGCTGCGTGAACCACCGCTCTTGATTCGATGGGAAGGGTACCTCATGAAGCGCAGCGACTGGCTCAAGCACTGGGAGACGTACTACTTTGTGTTACATGGGCGCGTGCTATACTGCTACTTGAGCGATGAAGAGGCCAAGCTCCACCCCGAGAACTCCAAGATCAAGCACGGCAAGTTCACGTTCAGCGACAACCTAATTCTCGACGAAGTGATCACCGTCCAGTCGCGACTAACGTACGAGTTTGTGTTTGAGAGCGACAAGGGCAAGCAGATCCACTTGCGCGCGAAAACCGAAGCGAGCAAGCAAATGTGGATGCACATGGCGTGCCATGGCATCGTCGACACGGAAATGCTTCGAAACCAGGTGCTGCACATGCGCCGCACGCCCCAGCGCCACGCCACCCTCGTCGACTTCTTCCTCGGATACGAGTACCTGTTTGCGTCGCTGTCCAACATCGAAGACGCCACCGCGTCGACGTCGTCGTTGGATTCGTCCAATAAGCAGCGGAAACACTCGAAACAACGCTCCGACGACATCGTCCACCCGGACGCTGCGATCGCCGCCTTTGCGCCCAAGGTGGACCATATCCTCTGCCGTTTCTTCTCCATGTGCCAAACAGACATTGCCATGCGCAACAACTACATGCCCATGGTCCCCTTCCAAGGTATGTATGTACATATATATATATGTACACTTGGCCCCGTCTATATCTCGTGTATTTGTGTGTTGTTTGGTTGTACAGTATGATATACATATATATATATATATCACCCAAACTTGGACTTGTGTGAGTCATGTCGCCAAATAGCATTCGAATCCATTTTTGATCCACTTTCATCTTGTACAAACTATACTATACAAAGATTAGTATATCTATTTTCGTATCAAATATGGGTGACAAGTCATGAACCTAGCTAAAGTGGGGAGATACAAAGCATGATATAGTTTCATCCTCATACTTGTGAAACTAAAAAAGCATATCCTCAACTAACTATACTTCTTGCATAAATCTGTGATATTATACTTGCTTGTATCTTTGATAATATCCTACTGTTATATTGGAGATTCGGTATGAATTTCCAGACCCCGTTCAATCGAATCTCGCCGAGCGAATCGAGCACCAATCTCTCCCATTGGTCAATCCGAAATTGCTTGTCGCTGATTGGCTCCAATCCATTTTCGAGTTTCTACTGGAAAGGGCGAAGTGGATAATGGCCAATCAGATGTCTCGGGTCTATTTGTGCTCGATTGAACGAACCATGCAAAATTGGGAAATTTGAAGAAAATCGACAATATAATGCATACTGTTTGTAGGTACGTTTCGAGGGTACGCTGGAGTGCTAGAGTACTTTACCAAGCTGTCCAAGGCGGTGTCGTTTGAGTCATTTTCAGTCGAGGGCATGTCATTTGAAGGCGACGAAACCAAGCGGCTCGTGGTGGTGCACGGGCTCGAGTCGATGGAAGTACGGGGAACGGGGCAGTCGTTTAGCCAGGCATGGGAGCACAAATTTCTCGTCAAGGACGACGGCCGCATCTACCGGTACTTTATAAACATCTATATAGGAAATATCGTATATATTTATTATATATATATATATATATATATATATATATATATATGATGATTGTATTGATTGTCCTTACACGAGCCCGACCCGACTAACATTATAGAGAGTGTTTGACGTTTGTATGGATTGTGATTTGTTCGACTCAAAACATTTCCTCCGGCGATATGATATATTATAACTCAGTTGAAGACTGCAAGAATCAATCAATCTTTTCAGCCAATCATATTGTGCATTTCACGCAAATTTGGACTTGATTCGCCAAATTGCATTCGAATCTATTTGATCCTATTTAAGCTTGTACACACTATACTATACAACGATTAGTATATATATATATATGGTTTTGCCCAAAAGTGCAGGGGTCAAACGCTTGTTTGATTGGCAGAAATTTGACATGACGTGATATTTGATTGGCTCTGGCGGTTCTTTATTCGATTCTCCATATTCGATGGTTCTGCTGAGTGAGGGCTCCAGTTTCGACTCGATTTTTGACAAGATTGCACCCTATAATCTTTGTAGCCAATCATATTATTCCTTTGCTCGATCACCGGACGATTTCATCCATTCCCCCAAAGGGGCAATATATTTGATACTATTATTATTCGTACTGAAAAGCACAATATCTAAAAATAATACTATTTTACAACGCACACACCTATTTTATGGTCATTTGATGATAAATGGAAGCGAATGATTTTGATTGGCTACTGGATTCGTGTTCTGGGTGTTGGTTGGTCGATCTAGTGTCCCGCCTTACTTTATGTGTGGTGGTTTAGATGGGAAATCAACGGCGATATTGTGGCGTCGTCGGTCGCGTTCAAGCACTTGCATAACCGAGGACATGGGGAAAAGTACTGCGAGTCGTTTACAACGATCAAGTTGGACAATATTCCGAATCTCGCGCGAAAGGACAAGCCAATTCCGCCGACACCAACCAAGCCACCGCCGAGAATGGCATGGAACACGCCGCCACAGCAGTGGGACCCCCCGCCCACAACACCATGGAGTTGTCATCACCAGTCGTTCAACCAGCCTCGGCACCCGACGCCGACAAAGCCGCAAAACCCCCCCGGCGGCGGCGGCATCCACATTCAACTGCGGCGGACGTACCCGTCGTCATCATCGCCCACGCACACAAGCGTCCACCCCGTGTCATCGCCGCCGTCCGACCAGTCTTCATTTGAAGATCGCATGTCTACATTTCTCGACAACGACCAAGTCCATGGGTCTCCACATACGCAGTCACAAGTCCAGGACCAACGACGAGCGCCGCCGACAGAAGCGTCATATCCACCACGCACTTCGTTTCGAAACCATGTCACACAGTCGTGTCCAAACCATGTCACAGGCCCGTATCCACTGGACGATCCATTGTCGCCGACTTCATTTTACGAACCAAAGGAAGGACCACCACCACTACCTGTGCATCATGCAGACCCATCCCGTACTCGGCATCAACAACAGCATCAGAAGCCCCCGTCGTCGTCGTTTCGACCTTCTACTTCGTCGTCGGACCCATCGTTCCCGCAACCCCCACGTCCATTTCCGTCTTCGGCATCGTTCGGCACCCGCGGCCATTCGCTCCCCTTTCCAGACAACCACCACCCACGCTTCCAGCAGCAGCATCCCCCGTCTCCCCCCCCGCAGAAGTCGCCCGATGCCGCCAACCTCATCACGTCCAGCACATCCTTTGATTACCCGCTCGGGTTTAAACGAGGCAACTTGTGGCCAGACGCGCCCGTGCCGCCGTCAGAAAACATCCGGCTGGCTGCCGCCAAGCGGCTCGACCTGTGCCGGCCGCGGGAGGACCTCGCCATGTACCTCCAGATTGCATGCAAGACGCTGCATGTTTCCATGGGCACGGTGTGCGTGGTCGGTGGCGGTGCCGGTCTGTTTATCGCGAAATTCGGCGGCAGCATGACGCACGTAGACACGGCACCCCGCGATATGATCCTCGAGTCGCATGTCATCATGAGCGCCGACCCGACGGTCGTGCTGGACACGAGCGTGGACATCCGCTTCGCCATGAACCCTGTCGTGACGCAGGGGGACGTCGGCTTCTATGTTGGCATCCCGCTCGTGTCGACGGATGGAGACTACGATGTCGTGGTTGGCGCGCTGAGTCTAGTGGACACGACCCCTCGGGACGCGGTCACACACAAACAAGTCGCGGCACTCGTGCAAATCGCCCAGACCATCATGCATCGGGTGCAGGATCTCAGCGCCGCGGGGAATGGTGCACGGAACCCGCCACCGCCGCCGCCACAACACGATAGCACATTCGATCGAACACAAGTGAACTTGGAAATCGATTAGGATGTGTACTTGCGTACGTAGCACTACTGTAGTTGTAGTAGTATACCCATATACATATATATACATACGATATGACCAAGCACGATGCACGCACCGCCATATTTGTCGTTGTGCGAAGCCCCTGGACGTCGGTGGAACTTGCTCGCCTCCTCGCTCTGTCGTATGCACGCTGGGATGCTACAGAAGTACAGTAGGTAGTTAGGTACCCACGTTCATCCGCATGCAGTCTGAGTACGTGCCAAAGGTACGTACGTACATATGTATCGCATGCTTCCAATGAGGACGCCGACAGGTGACACATCATGACAGCATCGGCGATGGAGGGCGCCATGTTGCATGTACCTGGTACTACTACGTACTGTACATATTCTTCATCCACGCCGTAGGACACCGTCACCCATTTTGCCCTTGGCGCAGAATCAGGTCACGGTACAAAAATGGACCAATCGGAGGCGATTAGGGTGTTCTTTTTAGCCAATCCAATGCGTTTCTTTGCCCTGAACAAACTTCCGATATTATATAACAAAGCCAATATACTTCAAGTACGTATACCATTTAATACACGAGTACGTAGCGTCGTGTTGTGTAGTTGCCAGATTCGACGACGAAGCAAGCAGCAGCACGTCACTGGCCCATGTACCAAGTCCGCTCCGAGTACGACAGGGCGTACGTGTTCAGCCAGTACTCAACGACGCCACGGGGCAGCAGCAGCAGCGGTGGACCTCCGCGCCATGATGGCAGCACGCCAAAGTCATCTCCATCAACTTCCGCGAACCGCATGGTCGACGGCCAGCCCTGCGAACTCGCAGTCGAGATACTCGCGGACAGCGTTCTCGAAGGCGACGAGCGCCTGTCGTCCGTGGCCCGCATGAGCTACACACAATCTTTCCTCGGGTATGACGAGTCAACGACTGGTCGCGATCTGCACGAGTGCTCAGCCCAACCGGCGCCATCTTCGACTTTCACACCCCCGCCTCCGCCGCCGATCTCTTCTACAGCCGCTTCGCCATTGAAGTCGCCACCCCCTTCGTTCCCTTCCATGGCCACCGGATTGAGCCGTACATCCAGTGGCAACAAGCTGAAGAGCAGCCATTCGTCCACGGCATCGACGCCGTTGCCGGCGGACCATCGCGCGCGGAGCATGAGCAGCTCCACGATCCTCCAGCGTGGCTCTTCCAAGCCCAAAGTCGTGGGCCTCAAGGGCCTATACGAACCTGCATTGACTTTGCATTGGGAAGGGTACCTCATGAAGCGCAGCGACTGGCTCAAGCACTGGGAAACGTACTACTTTGTGTTACACGGTCGTGTGCTGTGCTGCTACATGAGCGAGGACAACGCGCGGGTACATCCCGAGAACTCGCGCATCAAGGACGGCCGGTTTACGTTTAGCGACAAGGTCGTGCTCGACAAAGTCATCGATATCCGCACGCACTTTGACATGCCGTCGTCATATTCGTCCCAGTCGGCCTCGTCCAGTTCGTCAAGTGCCGCCGCCGCGCTCTCGATCGGCGGCGGCGGCGCATCGTCGTCCCCCGCCACGCCCTCCAAGAAGCACGTGCCGTTTCGATTTGTGTTTGAAACCCAAAACTCCAAAAAACTGCACTTTCGAGCCAAATCTGAAGCGTCCAAGCAATTGTGGATGCATATGGCCACGCACGGTATGTATTGATGTCCTAGTATTGTGCTTTTTAGTGCAATTTCATTGTGTTGTGGTTTCTCGTTGGAATTTAAATCGATTTGATTGGCTACTTCAGAAGAGCTCAACATTATTAGCCAATCAAAACCCATTTCTCAATGGAATTCAACAACCAATCAGATCGATTGTGGATCGGTTTCGTCGGCGCGATGCGATTGCACCCCCTCCCCAAATTTGTACTATCAAACCCTCGACAATACTTCAATAAGAAGAATATGGAGCTTTTGTATGCTGATTCGCCAAATTAATCGTTCGATCGATTTATATTCTATATCCTGACTGGACTTGTCGGTCCTATTATACTTCATCATTGTGTTTTACCGTTTGTCGGGAAATGTTTTGTTTATGCAAACACCACGAACCCGTGTATGTATGTGCATATTTCCATATGGCTGGGAATATATATATATATATATATATGAACTCGATACATGTGATATATGATGGCAATGAGTAGGCATTGCCGACACGGATCTCGAC